AATAGAATAGAATCTAATAAATTAGAAGGTCTTATTACACTTGACGAAGCCTCTTTGACAATGAAAAATATGAAACATAATAAAAGCCCAGGGTCTGATGGTTTCACTACTGAATTTTTTAAATGTTTTTGGAGACAACTTGGTGATTTTGTAGTTAGATCTATAAATTTTGGTTATGAAATAGGTCAACTTTCCATTGTTCAAAGACGGTATCATAACTTGCATTCCAAAAGATAATAAACCTAGACAATTCATCAAAAACTGGCATCCTATTTCTCTTTTGAATATAGTTTATAAAATAGCTTCAGGAACAATAGCAGGTAGGGTAAAAACAGTATTGCAAAAACTTATCAACACAGATCAGACTGGATTTTTGGCAGGTAGATATATAGTTGAAAATACTAGGCTTATTTATGACATAATGCATTATACTGAAGAAAAAGATATACCTGGGATGTTACTTATGATAGATATTGAAAAAGCATTCGACTCAGTCGCATGGAAATTCATTGATGAAGTTTTTTGATTTTGGAAATAGCATTAGAAATTGGATTAAAGTTTTTCATTGTAATATTAGTTCTGCTATAAACCAAGGAGGTAATCTTTCTCAATTTTTCAACGTCAAAAGAGGCTGTCGTCAAGGTGATCCCATCGCACCGTATATTTTTATTCTTTGTGCTGAAATGCTAGCAATTCGGTTGAGAAATAACAGGAAAGTCAAAGGTATAAGTATTAACAATTTTCCAATTATATTTTCACAATATGCAGATGACAGTTCACTTACACTAGATAGATCAGAGGAGTCGCTGACTGAATCTATAAAGGAATTTAACACTTTTGCTAGAATATCTGGTCTAAAAATTAATCTGAACAAAACACAAGTAGTATGGATAGGGAGTAAGAGATAGAGTAATGATATTTTATTACCGGAAGTAAATCTTCAGTGGGTTGCAGAACAGTTTAAGCTTCAATTTCATGTAGACCTACATAGGATACCAAAACTAAACTTTGATAAAAAAAACTTGTTTAGCTTAAATCTATTATTAATTCATGGAAAAGAAGATCTATTACACCTATTGGTAAAATACATGTCAAAGTCATTAATGGTATCCCAATTTAATCACTTGTTTATTTCTCTACTAAATCCCGATGACAAATTTCTTCATAAACTCAATTGTATCCTTTATGAATTTCTTTGGAATGGTAAGGTTGATAAAATAAAGAGAGATGTTGTTGTTAAAAATTATAGAGATGGAGGTCTTGATGGTACACTTGATGGATGGTACACTTATTGTCATTTATAGAATCTTTAAAATTATGTTGGATAAGGAGGCTTCTCCAAAAACAAGGCAAATGGCAGGAGATCTTAAAAACATATATCAATATTGATCTTCTCTTTAACTGTGGTAATAAATACATATCTATATGCCAAAATACAAGTACAAATTTGTTCTGGAAAGACGTTTTTAAAGCATGGAGTNCATCAAGTCAGCAGATACAATACATCTCCTCCCACAGTATAGTTCTGTTTTTATATTTTGAAAATACAATGATGTACATACATGTAGCCAGCACACACTAAGTTTTCACAAGGACTTTTCTTTTTGGCAGTTATGTCCCTTTTACCATACCTGTATTGAATCTTGCCTGAACTCGAAATATATTTTTTATGTCCCTTTTTTGTGAATCTCAGTTGATGTTTCTGTCTGAACTTATTAAAGTTAATCTCTTTTATGATATAAATATATTTTGTCCTGAGTATTACCCTCATTTCTCAGTCACCTTTATATGGCTGTATTTACTTGCAGTTTAAAGCAGAAAGCACCTTACTTACAATTAATACAGAAGATTATCTTATAATCTTATTCTAAACATAAAGTTTGTTTATTATTGAGCTGCAGTGCAAAAACTAGTTTCTCCTTTTTCTTTCTCTTTCTGTTGACTTTCTGCATTTTCATTGCTATTTTTTTTCCTTCTTCTTTTCTATTCTCTCTCTCTCTGTTCTCATAAAGGCAATGTATGTGTACATGGGTACCATTGCATGTACTTGTGTCTAAATATATCAACTGATGTAAGTAAGAGTAAATATGAGTCGTGTGAGGTCTGAATATATAATATGAATTGTTTGAATGTAAATATAACATATATTGCAAAAAAATCTTGAATAAAAAGAAAATTACCAAAAAAATAAAGGTCTGGATTATATACACCTGTGTATCTTCATAGAAATAAAAATGAAGAGACATACTAGTCTGGTTAATTGGAGTCTAGCAATTATTGTTAAGCAATTATCTTAACACTCAACATCATAATTAATTGATGATTTGATTGACTTTCATTTGTGAATTTAACTAATTTTGGGCTACTTTCTTCTTCCAGGATAGTAGAAATCTACAGCAGAAGGTTACAAGGTATGTTAAACCCTTAATTCAGAATATCTAAAGCCTCAACCATTTGTTTTTTAAGTTGATATTTTCTCTCTTTTAACTGTTTGTTGTGATGAATAGTATGAATCCTCCATAAATTACACATAAGTACATGTATATATATATATACATTGTACAAAAGAAAAACTGTTACTCACTGTTAGATTTTGTCTATTTATATTCCTTGTTTTCAGTTCAAGAACGCCTTACCAAGCAGATAGCTGTGGCCATCACAGAGGCTATACAACCTTCTGGTGTGGGTGTGGTAATTGAGGCTACGTAAGTCATCCTCCTCCACCTCTACCCACTCCTCCTGAAAACCAAACTCTTGAATTCCTAGCGATGATTGGTCCCAAAAAATCGCTTTCTTTATCTCACATTGCTTAATATTTTTAATTTCAAGATAATGAGTGTATGACAGATTCTACCATATAATTCTGATATACTCTAAAACATTTTCACTTATTTCCGATATAACTATTTCATAAAGTGTGAAAGTTTATGTTACAGACATGTGCATACATGTTTTTTATGTTACAGACACATGTATACATGTTTATGTTACAGACATATGTATACACATTTATGTTACAGACATATGTATACATATTTATGTTACAGAAATGTTACAGACATATGCATACATGTTTTTTTATGATGTTACAGACACGTGTATACATGTTTATGTTACAGACATATGTATACATATTTATGTTACAGACATATGTATACATATTTATGTTACAGACACATGTATGCATGCTTTTATCACATAACTGACCCATTTTACTATGTCATGGGGCAATGTCATAAATATGGTATATTACACATGTGTAATGAAACCTGAGGTGCTGCGATTGGTCAAAACCCTGGGAACATATTCCTACGCCACTATTGGTAGTAATTTTATATACTTTACCACATGATACATTTACTGATATTTTTAATGAATTTGAAATGTGTATTTTGTCATTATTATTTTCATTGCTTTAAAATTGTTTTTTTTTTAAATTTAAAAAAAAATCTGGAACTATTTTGCACTATGTGGAACGACAATACTATATGTATAGAGCCAGCTGACACAACCTTTCAAAGTGTTTGAATTTTTGTTTGTTTATGTTAGACATATGTGTACAGTGTACATGTTTATGTTACAGATACATGTGTACAGTATACATGATTATGTTACAGATACATGTGTACAGTATACATGTTTATGTTTCAAACACATGTGTACAGTGTACGTATTTATGCTTCAGACACATGTGTACAGTATACATGTTTATGTTACAGATACATGTGTACAGTATACATGTTTATGTTTCAGACACAAGTGTACATGTTTATGATACAGACACATGTGTACAGTGTATGTATTTATGATACAGACACAATTGTACAGTATACATGTTTATGTTACAGACACATGTGTAGAGTGTACATGTTTATGTTTCAGACACAAGTGTACAGTGTACATGTTCATGTTTCAGACACAAGTGTACAGTATACATGTTTATGTTACAGATACATGTGTACAGTGTACATGTTTATGTTTCAGACACAAGTGTACAGTGTACATGTTTATGTTACAGACACATGTGTACAGTATACATGTTTATGTTACAGACACATGTGTACAGTGTACATGTTTATGTGACAAACACATGTGTACAGTATACATGTTTATGTTACAGATACATGTGTACAATGTTCATGTTTATGTTAGACACATGTGTACAATGTTCATGTTTATGTTAAACACATGTGAACCGTGTACATGTTTGTGTTACAGACACATGTGAACCGTATACATGTTTATGTGACAAACACATGTGTACAATGTTCATGTTTATGTTAGACACATGTGTACATGTTTATGTTACAGACACTGGTACATGTTTATGCTACAGACACATGTGTACATGTTTATGTCACATATGTACATTGTTTGTACATGTTTGTGTTTCAGACATATGTGTATGGTGATGCGAGGCGTACAGAAGCTGAACAGTAAGACGGTTACAAGTACAATGCTTGGAGTGTTCCGGGAGGATCCTAAAACACGTGAGGAGTTCCTCACTCTTACATGCGCAGGCAGATAGATACAGTTACACACAGTAAGCATACTAGTCCAACGCTTGCTAACACCATCACCAACTAACAAAACACCATCATAAATGGAAATCAACATTTAACACTTCTTAACGAACTAAACATTAACCTCTTCGTAATTAGAATCAACTAAACATTAACCTCTTCGTAATTAGAATCAACTAAACATTTACCACTTCCCTATACTAACGATAATCTCACCACTATAACAATGACAGATCTACCTGCTGCAGTAATGACCACTAATACACAACCACATCACCACAATACATCATCACATCCCCAAAACATCATCACATCACCAACACTGTTCTCAACCATCAATACATCTAACCTATAATAATTCACTACCAACTAACACCATAAACCTTCACCACTATATACCAGGACACTTTCACCAAGTCAAATATTCACCCTTCACTGGTAAAATCTTTATTCCTCACTGCATATTTCGCCCTTTGCATGAAATATATCATGATCAATTCATCCTTATTGTCGAAGAAGAAAAGGCAAAACTAAACTGTGGCAAAAATTTCCTGTTGTACAGTTTCACCTCTAACCATAAACTTTGCTTACATCTTCCACTATAAACCTTTACTACCATCTAACACTATAACCTTCAATAACAACTAACAATATAAACCTTCACTACCACCTTACACTATAAACCTTCACTACCACCTTACACTATTAACATTCACTACCACCTAACACTATAAACCTTCACTACCACCTTACACTATAAACCTTCACTGCCACCTAACACTATAAACCTTCACTACCTTCTGACACTATAAACCTTCACTTTCACATAACATTATAAACCTTCACTATCACCTTACACTATAAACCTTCACAACCACCTTGCACTATAAACCTTCACTACCACCTTACACTATAAACCTTCACTACCACCTTACACTATAAACCTTCACTGCCACCTTACACTTTAAACCTTCACTACCATCTGACACTATAAACCTTCACTACCACCTTACACTATAAACCTTCACAAGCACTACCACCTTACATTATAAACCTTCACTAGCATCTAACACTATAAACCTTCACTACCACCTTACACTATAAACCTTTACTACCACCTTACACTATAAACCTTCACTACCACCTAACACTATAAACCTTTACTACTAACTAACATTAAAAACCCTTCATTACACCTAACATTATAACCCCCACCACCAATTATACTATAAATCTTCACTACCGACTAACACTATAAGCCTTTACTTCCACCTCATACTAGAAACTTTCATTACAATGTGACACTAACAAGAAATTGTTTAACAGATGGAAATTATTATTTATTTAACCTCAGAAGAAAATATTGTATTATGAAAACAGTAATATTCATATTAGATTAATTGCATAAGATACCAAAAAAGCTTTATATCTTGTGGTTCTATAGGAAATAAGGTAACATACTACATTTGCTTGTGAACAGTTTCAAATGATGTCAAAATAAAAGGCTAATTAATTATTATTTTTTGTTGAATATACATAGCAGTATATTTTTCATGTTTATATTTTGTAATTGTCTTACTTTAACCAATATTTGACCGAACAGTATATTTCGTTACAGGTGTCTCCCTAATACGCCGGACTCAACTCTGACGGACAAACGAGTCACTGAGTCTAACATGATAGCCCTGCCTGTCCCCGTATTTCTGACTGCCTGAGTTGTAAACAGAGAACTATATAATATATTAGTGTGAGAAGTGTAGGAGAGGTTGTTTGAGACGGATGCTTGATTTGTGAGTTGCTGAAGCATTAGTATGTTTGTAACCAGTAAGATTGTTTAAGGAGAAGGACATAATGTATGACAATATGTAACTAGTGTAATTGGTTGTAGTGTATGTACACCTGAATTTAATCTCTATTATTTGATCATATTCTGACTTATTCCAGATTTATAATAAGCTTGTTTTAAAGAAACTCCTTCAGTTTAATTCCATTGATGCTCCTTTACAGACCAGTTAAACGTTAGGTTGTGAAGTGTGATATTCATTATTGAATGAACAGAGTGTAGAGAATATAAATTTCATGGATTATAGTAATGTTGTGACAGAATTGAGTCTGGGCACTTAGAGCATAGGAAATGTTTACAGACTGGACAGGATTTTGTTATATCTCTAGATAACATTCCTTGTCATCAGTATTACCCTTGGTCATTAATATGTGCTTCAGGTGTGATTCGTCTCCTACCATTACTCTTCTCTTATGGCACCAACACTAACCCTTTCACCGCTATATAACTTAAGTAGACTCTTCCATGCATTGATATGGATGAGTCCATTATAATCTACAGTGGTGAAAGGGTTAATATAGTCTGAAATTATCGTTTCCTTTTTTTTTTTAAAGGCAGAGATATCAAAAACATTTCAAAGGAGATTATTTATTTTGGACTAACTGAATATAATCCAAAGAAATGGGAAATCAGTCATTGAAAATAGGCATTTTATTTAGTTTGATTACGAGTTTTAAAACAATGGTAATTGTACACTAATAGTAATTTTTTGTTCTTAAGCCGGATAATATTTATTTAATTTATGACAGTCTTGAAAGGTGATATCCCCTGTCTGGGGGTGTGACTGTTTTCTGTGATAGATAATGTATGTGTGTACACTGTTTTATTAGTTATCAATGTTTTAGTGATATATTGGGGGAAATCCCTGGTTCTATTTACTACATCAAAGGACTGTTGCTACAGGGGACTTATACAGAACATGGTTATGATGGATGTGTCTGTGATTGATCATCATAACGATGTCATTGGTATCCAGAATGGTTATATAGCAGTAGACTTGTTGCAGTCAATGCAGTGCCATGGTTATGACGAGTATTACAAGTACTACAGTATAACTATAACTTTCCATTTAGTGTTGTCCAGGTGTCCCTTCACTATGATATACCAATATTAAAGGTTGACATGACATTGAAGCAGTCACAAGTTCCCTGATATACTTGTCGTGAACAGTGCAATGCTTTCTACTGTCACCTTTTGTCCTGCAGAACCTAGACATAAAGAGTTTTAAAAACATCAAAAGAGACTTAAAAAGGAATATTTTTGAGGGGAAAATGAAAAAAAAAAACTTTGAAAATCCCTGGGAATTGGCCAAGTAGAAAATTAAAGTAGGGGTATAATATATTGAGGCTTTACTATCTAATAACATCGTACACATTGTGTTTTAACTAGGGTCTCTGATAACAATCACATTTATTCAATGCTTATATATGGGTAGGTTTCACTGATGACAATCCCTATCAATGTTTTAAGTGTACACAGGATTTTATAAATTCTTAGATCTCAAACAATCACAAGTAAGTATTTTAATTTTAGTGAAGTCAACATGATCTAGTCATTAAAAAAGCCATTCCAGTTACCGGTACTGTTCAGTAGAAAATTGACCAATGAATTTTATGTTTTGTTATTTATATATTTTATTTGTTTTGTACGAAGAGAAATTTTGTATGATTTTATCCTTGTATATTTTTCTGTTGTGATGTTTAACTATTCTAACATTCCAATCTGTTCTATTTTGTAAATATTTGATTTTTATGATTTTTGAGCAATCATGACTGATTCAGTTTAGAAAGTACTGAAAATGTATTCATGTGGTTATGCTGCATACATGTAATTTGTGAGGATTTTCATTAACAAAACAATGTGTATACTTGTAGATATTCACAAGATATTGAATTTGTGAATGCAAATCTTTGTTAATTAATTATACAATGTTATTATATAAGCAGTATTTAGTAAAATTATAAAGACCACAATAGTTCCAAGGGTTGTAAATGACCCTTATACATATATGTGGTTGAGTATTCCCAGTTTTAATTCAAAGACTGGCTGGTAGTCAAATGAATACAAGATAGGCAAGTGAATACAAGATAGGCAAGTGAATACAAGATAGGCAAGTGAATACAAGCATATTAAGATTTTGTGGTCCATATGTTGACAATTTATCTGAGTCTATCAAAGTCAGGTATAAGTTAAAACAGTTCATCGTAATTGTTGTTTTATTTTAATTGAAATATTTTATTGATATATAAAATCTTATTATGAGATTAATTACACCAATATACATAATGTTTTAGCTATTTTGGCATGGTCCAAATGATCAATGATTTTGAGATCGACATTTTTTAGATGAGACTTAATTACTATAAATCATATGATAGTACTTCGTAATGTTGTGATTTTGTGCAAAATGATGTTATTGAATTATATTCTCATAAATGTGTCATGTTTTGGGTGTTGGATCCTTTGACCAAGTTATTTTTCGGGAAACAAGGCATACCTGATTACCTCCCTTCATACAGTGGTTTCTGGACTGCAATATATATCCGACACATTTTCAGGAAGAAGGTTTTAAAGTGTTTTTTGATATGCCCTACTATCTTACATTGCAAATAGAAGTTATCCATTATTGTATTTAAATTACAATGACAATCCAGAAAAAAATGGGGTTTTTTTAGTTTAAAGGAATTTCAATATATGTCACAATACATACTGATTGTACAAATTTTGTTACAACCCAACAACATCCTCTTCTGAGTAAGTGACATTTTGAATTACCAGGTACAATCATGTTCTATAAGAATGATAGTGGATCAGGTAAATAGATATTATCAAAAATTATATAAAATATACATAGTGGGATTACCTGTAGTAGGACAGGGATCCTGAAAACATCTCGGGACTTCAGCAAGGCTATTATGTGTGCTACAAGTTAATGTACAACTAGAATAAGCCTTCATCAAGACCTAGCTTTTTAAAGGAGAAAATGTATTAAAGCACCAGTTGGAAGTGTCACTTTTATGTAAAATACATTATGCATTGTCCATCTGTCAACCATTTCTTAAATGACTTCTTCTTCTGAACAACTGAACAGAATTTCACCTCTAAGCATCCTTAGATATTAAGACTCAAAATTTTTCAAATGGAAGCTCAGTTTTTGCGGGGCCAAAAGTGAGTTATTTGTCCATATCGCTTTATGCAACTTCTCATCTGGAACTTAAGGTGGATATAGACCATATTTGTTTGGAAGCATTCTGCAAGGATTCAAAAATTTTACAAAAGAAGGGGAAGACCTCTTGGGGTTGCAACTTGGAAAGGGTTGATTTTCCAATCCCATTACCAATTATGTGATTGATTTGCATGATGTAGGGAACACTGGCCGAGTGGTTAAGGAGTTTGACTGTCTACGATAACTAGCCCTCCGTCACTGGGTCACGGGTTTGAGGTCTACATGGGACAGTCGCCAGGCACTGGCAGAAGGTGATGGTTTTCCTCCATGTACTCCAGCATCAAAACCTGGCATATCTTTGTATGACCATAGCTGTTGATAGGACGTAAAACACGAAAATTAAATAAAAATAATGCTTGGTATGAAGATACATTACAGATACCTTACAAGGTTTGGCGTGTTGGTCCTTTCTGCCCTTGAAAACTCTGTGTCATGGCAACAAAATGAAAGTAAAATTTCAGAGTATACAGAAACACACCTGTTTCTAGGATTAGTTCCAGGGTCTGGCCTAACCCCCTGGAGACTTACTTCCAGGGTCATAACTTTAAAATGGTTGAGAACCCCACCTCCTAAATATAAACACAATTGTTGGGCATGAAGAGAGAGGGACCAAAACAGATATGATGTAAGGATTGGTCTCAGGGTCTACCCCACCTGTATGGAATTAGTCCCTGGATCATAAGATGGAAATGGTTGGGTTCCATATCCTGTTACTAGAAGTGACGCTGTGGTCTGGCCCCGCCCCTGGGAACTTATTTACAAAATTTTGATAAGATTATTTCACCTTGACTGCTTAATTACACATGTGAGCAAAACAGGTTCTCTATGCCTCTTGTTTTATAAATGTACATTGCTTTATAGTCAGTTTGGTTTCATTTATGATAATATCAACAAACTAAACATACAATCAAAAACATTTACAAATTTTGAAAAAAAGTTGGGTTAATACATTTGCTCTTTGCCATGATCTGTCCAGCCCTCTCAATATGAATGTATTGTAACTTTAACTCATTTTATACAAAAAAAGGTTGTGTTAAGAACAGCTTTACCTACATTAGGTACCTGTAACACTGGTGTAAGCTGTCTGGTTGACGGTTTTTGTTACTTGTAACCCAGTGCCAGTGAGCAGAGAATAACCTTGACTGGGAGTGGACCGAGGTTGAGAGTGTCTATTTACTATTTATCATAACTTCGAGTATACAGCTGCTCATATTTAGAGAACTATAATTTTATGATATTTATGTTTGATATACTTTAAATATATTCATGGTGAAGAAAAAGGTGAAAGAAAGAATCTATTGTTGTTATATCTTCCGTGAAATACAGTGATTGAAACACAAACTTTGGAGTTGTTTTATCATTTATTTTGACTAACCCAACCCTTGAAGGCTAACTTTCTGGGTCGAAACTTTGAAAGGGTTGCGATCCCCACCCTATAACCATATATACATAGCTGTGCATAAAGAAATTAACAAAATCATGCTAACCAGAAACTGGCTTTGGGGTCTGCCCCGCCCTCTAGGACTTAGTCCCTGGGTCGTAACATGGAAATGTTTGAGCTCCCCATCCATTAAAGATCGTAAATACATATGCTACCAAGATTGTCTCAAGGGACAGGCCCTACCATGAGATCTTATTTACAATACAATGTTTTACTTTTAATGAAGATTTGTTTACCATGATTGCTTAAATAGGCATGAGAGTGATACAGGCCCAGTAGATCTCTTGTTCACCAATTCTGAATTTAAATAATGACAGGGGTACATATCCAGTTGTAATGAAACTTGAATGACGGTTTAGAGGTTTTAACTTAAAAAACAGCTGTACATGGGTACGTATTATGATAAATTTGTCAGCTTATTATAGGAGTCTGTAGTAAAACTTCAGGGCTATTTCACGGTCTGGTCCTTCAATCACTGATACACCAAGGGGATTCCTACATGATATGTGACAGACGTGTATATAAAAGTACATCGTGTTCTACCCCCGCGCTACTCCTGTAATATGATTCGAATAGAAAATAATTATGTACCTACTTAAAGCCGACACAAACTAAAATTGGCCGTTCTACTGGAGATCAATGGAAGTAGACATGTACAGATACGATAAATATTTTCTTTTCAGCTCGTTATAAATGTCTTGTAATAGTGTACGTTACAATCAGATTACTATATCATACATAAACATTGTCTTTACTCCTTAAAACTACTATAAGTTCACCTTAGACATGGACTATATAGAATAGGGTCAATATTGTCATGCCA